CAAACTGTTGTAAGTAAAGGACTACCTGTACTACCCAGATAGGTCAGTTATAAATTCAAATAGTGGCTAAATGACTGGTCATAAGTTGAAGACTACCTGTGCACAGCTTTTTTTCCCTTCTGCCTCGTCCTGTCTCCCCCCCCCCTTTTAAATAACACTTTGCCTGACAGAAGGTTCCGGGGACTGAGAAGAAGTCACATGCTTCAATGTCATTTTGGTGGCCTCCACAGAGATTTTATCCACTTATGGACTATTTATTTTTCCCCATGGACCAAAACTGCTGTAAGTGCCTTATTCACATTAATGCATTAGAAACAAACATAATGAGGTGAACAAATGCAACTGATGGAGAAAGAGGCTGCTGTGGAAAGGTCAAGGGCTTGCCTTTTTCCCCATTGAGAATGTCTTTATCCAAGAATAGTGTTTCTCAACTTCGGCAACTGTAGGATAGCTGGACTTCAACTCCCAGAATTCCCCAGGCAGCCAAGTCCACCTATCTTAAAATTGCCAAGATTGAGAAACACTCTCCAAGGCTCTTTTAATGGCTAAATGGCCATGTAAACACCATGTACCTCTGCAGAGCGAGGTGTGGTTTGGCACGAGAAACTGGAACTATCTCTGGGGATGAACATAATGCAGGTGGCTTTCTTGGACAAGGGGAAGAGGTAAACTCCTTGAGATTCAGGGAGACAGAAAGAAGATAAACTGATTGGACTTGATTAATTTATCTCAGAAAGAGTTTTAAAGAGAAATATAGTCTTTGTCTTCAGAATTTGCCTAGGGGAAAAGAAATAGACAGGATATGGATTCCAAATATATGAGCCAAATGTCCCATTGATATTAAGCATCCAAGGAGAAGATAGGATGGGAAACACCTGGATATATTATTATTATTATTATTATTATTATTATTATTATTATTATTATTATGTTATCATTTTTAACTTATCTTTCAGAGCAAAACCCCTTAAAAACAGAGCATTCTTTAAAAATAAAAATCAAACCACAAAATTAAAGTCACGGGTGTCAAACTGGCGGCCCTTGGGCCAGATAGGTCACACGCAGGCCACGCCCACCCCAGCTCCGCAAATGGGAAAAACAAAATGTCACGTGATGCGGCGAGTTTGACACCCATGACCTAAGTGATCAGCAGAACAAGAAAGACAACTGCAACAAACATCTTATTTAAATGTTTAATATAGCATAGTGTTTCTCAACTATGGCCATTTAAAGATACTTGGACTTCAATGCCCAGAATGCCCCAGTCACAACATTGCTTGCTCAAGTATTTTGGGGTGGACGTCCATACATTTTAAAATGGTTAAGGCTGGGAAACCCTGCTATAGTGTAATTAGCCAACTACAAGCTAGAAGAAAAGCTAGGAAAGACAAATTGGAAACTTTGTTATGGGGGAGACAATTCAAAAGATTTGGGGACACTGATAAGAAGGCTCTGTGTCTGGTGGGCCAGACAGTAGAAAGTTAGAAACTGATCCCCTTCTTCAGTTCAAAACTGAAGAAGCTACTTGGATGAGAAGTGAAACGTCTTCAAGGAAAAACAAAGAAAGTCCAGTTGCCTTTTGAAAATTCACCTTTGGGACAACCATGACCTAGATGACTGAGAATCTCCACAAACACTCAAAGACTGATCTTCGACCATTAGTAGGCTTGGATTATGAAGGCAAACCTGCAATCACATGGCAGTCTTTAATGCCTTCAGCACGAAAACCGGCACTTCACAAACTGGAAATAAATAAGGAGCCAACAAAACATGCCTGAGAAGACGTCCAAACGTCTAGCTCCTACAAGTGTTTGAGCTATAGATATCGTTTCCAAGCCATCAGCAACATCAGCCCCAATAAAGCATGTATGGTGATCTGATCCTGTTTAATGGAGGCAAAATCAGTTTTCTTTAGATCACAGTTGGTAAACAAGCCAACAGTGTTAAATGATACACCCAACCACTGACAAAATTGCCACCTCCATGACAGCATCTCAACACCATCCCTGGGTCTTAAGGGCATGGTTATGCAACACATTCCCTCCAGGTATTTTTGAACACAGCTTCCAGCAGCTGTAGTGCTGGGAGATGCAGATCAACAACAGAGGCATTCAAGGAGAATGCAAATCACTTCAGTTGTGCATTTCCAATCAGATTAACAGATTATTCTCACCCACAATGCACAGTTCTCATCTGGATGAAGTTTCAACAGCATTCCTTCATTCAAGCCAAAACTATCCCATGACACTTGAGTTTCATAATGGAAGGGAACTAAAAGATGAAATATACAAAATGTCAAGAGACCTTCCCCAATAGAAGGCAACGAGAATTCCAGATAGTCTTTGCTGGAATGAAATGCTGTACAAGCATCAATCCTGCAGCACAAATTACTTCAGGAGAGATTGAATTGCTTGCAAGAGCTGCAGGAGGGAAGGACCTCCTCATTTGCAGGAGCCTTCCTTCCTTTCTGGTCTCGACAATCAATTATTTTCTCTCTCAGGAACCGAGAGGGAGAAATCTTATGTTTGCTGGCTGGAAAGAACGTGCACTGCAACACACCTTTGTGCTACTTTAAGGATACACCACTATATAAGAGCATCTAACTCAACTTTCTGACTCAATAAAAATGAATTGGCATCAAAGGGGGCCAAAACATCTTATTTATTTATTTGTTTGTTTGTTTGTTTGTTCAACTTGTATACCGCCTTTCTCCGAAGACTCAAGGCTCAATCTTCTCAAGGCTTCAACATATAATCAACTGCCCAGAGTTACTGAGAGTTAGGTGGCATATACATTTAATATATTACTATTTCTAGACATTTTAATCTCTCCATATTGTTAAATACAGGTAACCCTCAATTTACAACAGTTCATTTAATGACTGTTCAAAGTTATAGCAGCACTGAAAAAAGTGACTTATGATCATTTTTCACATTTATGACCTTTGTAGCATCCCCATGATCATTCGATCAAAAGTCAGATGTTTGGCAACTGATTCATACTTATGATCGTTGCTCTGTCCCAAGTCATGTGATCATTGCAACCTCCTGACAACCAATGACAATGGGGAAGCCAGATTCACTTAACAACTGCGTTATACTAACTTATCAACTGCAGTGATTCACTTAACAACTGTGGCAAGAAAAGTCAGAAAATGAGACAAAACTCACTTAACAAATGTGTCATTTTGGGTTCAATTGTTGTCGTAAGTCAAGGACTACCTGTATTGCTTCTCATTTCACCTATTTGTTCCACCTCTATGCAGAAAATGTGACATAAAATTACATTTAAAATATGGGAATATGATCCTACTCGCTTTAATGAACCAAACTCATGGAATCTACCCTGGTTTCCCAACAGGCTACATGTTGTAGCACACAGCACATACATGACTCATCTGTGCACCTCATGATGCATTCACACATTTCAAGCCATTTCTACCCCAGGATGGGTTTTCTGTGACAAACATATTGAGGAGAAAAATAACTAAAGTAAATGAAGCAGAAAGGACCAAAGAGGAACAAGAAAGCTGAGGAAAAAGACAAATCATCTTCTTTCTCTCAGCCCAACCCAGGGTTGTTATGGGGAAAATAAGAGGAGGAGGAAGTGTATTAGGTACGATTGCTGCCTTGCATTATTTATAAACTAAAAAAGTAGAATAAAAATGAAATAAAACCTTATCAAGGAATGGAGAACCCTTTTTGCATTGTGTGCCAACTTAGAATGCACTCTTCCCTTATTTTGTTATGACAGCTTTTTTTTACTGTTTTCAAACTGCATGTTATGTCAGAATCAAATCACCAATAAGGCCAGATGCATTAAAATAAAACTGTCACATACATCTCTCGCTATATAAAACAGAAAAACAACGGAGTATGCGGTCTAAAGAACACGTATCATAAATATGCTCTCATAAAAAGCGATGAATGGGCCAGTTAACAGGGCCGTGAGAGGCATGGTCCAGAGGTGGCTCCAAACTGGAAGGATGTTTTGGAGTCCTTCCTTCTCTGAAAAAGAGAAATCCTGCCCGCATCGAGGGAGCAGCCGGGGCTTCTCCTGAGCTGCTGCTTCTCCCGCGTGGACGGAGGATGTGGATGATGGGCTTTGTCTTCTGAATCCCAGGCACTGCGCAGGGTCACCATCCGGGGGGACGGGGCCGATATGAGGTGTGTTTTTTTTTTGTTCTTTTTTTAATTTGATTTATATGCCGCCCTTCTCCGGAGACTCAGGGCGGCTTACAATGTACTCAGCAATAGCCTTCATCCTTTTGTATATTTATACAAAGTCAGCTTATTGCCCCCACAAACTGGGTCCTCAATTTACCTACCTTAGAAAGGGATGGAAGGCTGAGTCAACCTTGAGCCTGGGGAGATTTGAACTTGCAGTAATTGCAAGCAGTTGTTAATAACAGTGCTTTAGTCCACTGTACTACAGGCTCTTTATACAAAATATACTTTTGTATATTTATACAAAGTCAGCTTATTGCCCCCACAATCTGGGTCTTCATTTCACCTACCTTAGAAAGGATGGAAGGCTGAGTCAACCTTGAGCCTGGTGAGATTCGAACCTGCAGTAATTGCAGGCAGCTGGTCTTAATAACAGGGTGCTTTAGACCACTGTACTACCAAGGCTCTGTCTACTTTTAATCCACATATAAAAATAGGCGAGGCGCCCAGAGGAGAAAAGAGACCCGCCCCCCAAATTCAGCCCCGTTCCTCAAAGGCTTCTTTGGGGTCCCTTAAAGGGGCGGCTTTTCCTCGCCCCCTCCAGCCTCCCCCCCCTCTCTGCAGCGGGAGAAAGTACTCTGCACGTGCTCAGAGAGCTGCCCCCAGAGCCGCCCCGGGGAGAGGGTTCCTGCCGGGCCCCACCCCCGCGCCTACCCCCTCCTCGCAGAGCCAGACCCCTCCCCATTTCCGTCCCTCCCCCGCCCCAAAAGGGAAGCCCCGCGGAGTGGCGGGGTGGGGGGAATCTAATGCTGCGGGGCGTCCCCCTCCCCTCACCATGGTACAGATGGAGGCGAGTCTCCGGACGGTCATCAGTGTTGCCATCCGCGCGGCGACCTGCAACCCGCCGTCGCCGCCATGTTGGCCGCCCGCCGCCCGAGGGAGCGCCGCCGCCGGAGCCGCCGCGGCCGCCGCAGGTGGCGCCACCGAGAAAGCCCTCCGGGTGGAGGCGGAGGAGGCGGCGGCGGCGGCGGGGCGCGTCACTCGCACTCGGCTCCGACCTGACCGCGCAGCCTCGGAAGGAAAGTTCCGCCCATCCTCCGTTCCGCCGCCGCCGGCACCGCCCCTTTCGAACGCCACGAGGCTCCGCCCCTTTCTGGGCTCGTCCGGCGCGAGGCCAAACTGGGCGGAAAAGCGGGGAGGGGGAGATCGGCAAAGGGGGGGGGGGGGGGGGGTCCCGGGGGGGGGGGGCTGGGAAGGACTTTCCCGCCCAGCCGGTTTTGGGGAAATCCCTCTGTCACCCCTACAGGGACTAATTTTTCTCCCCTTTCTTTTAAATTCTTTTAAATTTTACATTTTAAATTGAAATTTTAATTTGTTTTAAATTTATTGGGATTTTAATTGTCGTGGGCCAATATTATTTAATTTGGTTTTAAATTGTTTTTAACTTTTGTATTTCTGTATTTTATCTTGTGCCTGTTCACCGCCCTGAGTCTTTTGGGAGTAGGGCGGTATACAAATTTAATAAAACTAAACTAAACTACAGGTAGTCCTCAATTTACGACCACAACGGAGCCCAAAATTTCCGTTAGTAAATGAGGCAAGTCAATTGTTAAGTAAATTTTGCCCCCTTTTACGACCTTTCTTGTCACAGTTGTTAAGCGAATCACTGCTGCTGTTAAGTTAGTAACCGGGTTGTTAAAAAGTGATTCTGGCCTCCCTGTTGACTCTGCTGGTCAGAAGGTTGCAAAAGGGGATCCCGTGATCTTCAGGATACCATAAGCATCACAAATACAAGCGGCTGGATTCTGATCACGTGACCATGGGGATGCTGCAATGGCCGTAAGTGTGAAAAATGGTCATAAGCCCCTTTTTTCAGTGCAGTTGAAAATTCAAAGTCACCAAACGAAAGGTTATAAATTGGGGGTTACCGGCATTCTGTAGGTTCCAGCAAACCCGATGCTTCCTCAACATCCTGCAATGGGCAATGCGATGTTCTCAACCTTGGCAAGTTCCAGATGTATAGACTTCGGTTTCCATAACTCCCTGGCCAGCAGGCTTCAAGACGGGTGGACTGCAACACCCAGAATTCCCTGGCCAGGATGCTATTTCAATATCATTAAAATTGCCAAGGTTGAGCCACGGTGCTCCAGTAACCTGGGAGGGATGAACCTTGGAGCAGGTTTTATCTGGGCCAGTGAATACTTCGGAGGAAGCGTTCCAGCTACAACTGGTGCTCAGGGGGTGCTGAGCACTTCAAAGTAAGATTCAGCCCTGGAGCTGAAGAGTCTAGTTTAGGGTGTGTGTCCAACCTTGGCAACTTTTAAAACTTGTGGATTTCATTTCCCAGAATTCCTCAGGCAAGTTGCCAAAGTTGGACATCCCTGTTCTAGAAGCTTAGTCTACTCTTTTGACTATGAATATGATAGAGTTGAATGAACTTCCTCCTTCCTATATTTAAATAGCGTTTGCAGTATCGTTAGTACCTGAGTACTGTAGTACCTGAATACGGGGTTGGACTAGAAGACCTCCAAGGTTCCTTCCAACTCTGCTATTCTGTTATGTCCTTTGGGATCAGGGCTATAGTGGTGGCACAGTGGTTGGAATGCAGTACTGCAGGCTACTTCTGCTGATTGCCAGCAGTTTGGCAGTTCGATTCTCACCAGCTCAAAGCTGATTCAGCCTTCCATTCTTCTGAGGTTGATAAAATGAGGACCCAGATTGTTGGGGGCAAGATGCTAACTTTGTAAACAGCTTAGAAAGGACTGTCAACTACTGTGAAGCAGTCTATAAGTGTAAGTTTCCTTTCCTCTCTTCACCATTATCTTTTTTTCTCATGAATTTCACAACTTAAGTCTCAGGAGAATTCATTCCAGTCCATTTCATAATCCCTCTCTTTATTTCAAGACCCAGCTTCCTTTGTTTGGGTTTCTCAAGCATGCTGGCTAGAGAATTCTGGGAATTGGAGTTCACCCATCTAAAAAGTTTCTAGAGTCAAAAGATACCATGTATCAGCCTCACTCACGACCCAGTTTCCCATCCTCTCTCTTTCTGCCTCCTCCCAATTTAAATCCTCCATCTTGAAGCGAGCGGCATATTCATTCATTCATTCGTTTGTTTGTTTATATCTCATGTTTCTATAGTGCCCATCTCTCTCAAAGCTATTTAATCAAATCTGTGAGTTGGAAAAGTTGCTCTCAGAAGAGGGTCAAGGTTTGTATAATGGTTTATGGTTTAGAATTAGATATGAGCCAGGACATTATGATTGGTTGAACAAACTGATGTGTATTTATCTAAATCAGTGTTTTCCAGGTATATGGACTTCAACTCCCAGAATTCCACAGCCAGCATAGCCATTGCTGAGAATTTTGGAACTTGAAGTCCACACGTCTTAGAAAGTCCCATGGTTGAGAAACACTGACTTAATTTGAGAAACACTCTCTTAATTTGAGATCTCTAGAGATGGTTGCCAGTCCTTTTCTCTCTGGGGATATTTATGAGAGATTAGCACCTGGCTGTCAAAGGGAAAGGTGAGATAAATCCAGAAAGTCTCCTCCAGGTGGCCTTGCAACATGTAAGCAAACAAGATAAGGGTCCCTGGACTCTCTCCTTCCTCTGAAGAAACACTCTCTTGTAAGGAAATCTAAGACTAGCAAGTCTTATCTCCCTGGCCTTCTTCAAACTCTTTCTTCAGATTGTGTCAACAATCTCTTGTGAAGGGGAAAGATTGGGGTGTGTAAATTCTGTATAATCTGCTTGGGCCACCTGTTCACTTTGAAGCTGATTTTTGTTCCTTTGCTATCTCCAAGACACTTGGATGTTCCTCTCCAGAGAGTTCCCACTTCAAATCTTTCCCAAAGTCCATCTCACCAGTCTCAAGGTTGATTCAGCCTGCCATCCTCCCGAGGGTAAAATGAGGACCCAGATTGTTGGGGGGTAAGAGGCTGACTCTGTAAAACTGCTTAGAGAGGGGCTGTAAAGCACTGTGAAGCGGTATATAAATCTAGTGCTCTTGCTCCTCCTACAGTATCTTCAGAGGTAGATTTATGTATTAGATTTGCAGGTAGTCCTTGACTTACGTCTTATTGACTCACTGTCTCCTGGTGATTGGCCCAAAGCACCCCAACCAGCTTCATGTCTAAGGCAGGACTAGAATTCAGAGCCTCCTGATTTCTAGCCTGGTGTTTAACCACTAGAGCAAGATTACTGTCTCAGTGCGTATGCTCCAGATTCATTATTCCAAACAATATTTGAAACTTTACTCTTTACATTTTAATTAGGAAATTAATTAAAATCTTGTTACCCCTTCCTTAAGGTTTTAAAGCCTTGGCTTTACCTTGGACAAAGGTGGGAGATGAGTTTGTTGTATAAGGATTGACAATGACTGTGTTTGCCCTCAGATGTGTTTGTTTCTGTTATTTCAGAAGTTAATTGTGCAGAGACGATGTTTGGAATCATTTTTAAACTGAGGTTAACTGCAAGAAGGCAACCATAGAAATGGATTAAATCAGTCAACGAACATGGAATTGTAGCCTGCTCTGTGCAACGCACTCACTTTTGTTGTTGTGTTTATTTGAAGAGCTCCTTGAGGGTTGAGCACAGAAATAGAATAGGCAGGTGGTAGAAATCACAATGGTGTGAAAGAGACAACATGTGTATCATCGTACAACAATGCAAACTCTAGGCTTTCACATTTGCATTGTGATGTCAGACACAAGTACCTAACTCACAGTATTTTGTGTTGTCTCCTCACAATACACATTTTGTCCCATGCGGCTGGGTTTTTTAGCAGCTGCCTTAAATTGAAAGTGGTTCCTTTCCGAGCATGATTTTCAGAAAATTCTCATTAACAAAATTTAGCGAGGTGAAAGTAATGGGACTGAAAGAATTCCAGCAACAGAATCATTTTCCTTTCAGAGCCCTCATTTATATTCTGTTCTCCATTGCTCTTGATATTTAAGCTGTAAGCCACCCAGAGGCGCCTCGAATCACAAGATGGGCAACATATACATTTAATAAATAATATTCATAGCAATTTTCAATCTTTTAAAATGAGGTAATACAGGTAATCCTCAATTTATAATTAACTTATTGAGCCCAAAATTTCTGTTGCTCAGTGAGACAATGAGTTTTGCCCCATTTTTCTTGCCACGATTGTTAAATGAATCCTTGCAGCTGTTAAGTTAGTAACGTGGTTGTTAAGTGAATTCCCCATTGACTTTGCTTGTCAGGTTGCAAAAGGGGATCACATGCAGCCGTCATAAATATGAGTCAGTTGGCAAGCGGATGAATTTCGACCACGTGACTGGGATGCTGCAACGGTTGTAAGTGAAAAATGGTCATAAGTCACTTTTTTCAGTGCCGTTGTAACTTCAAATTGTCACTAAATGAACTTATAAGTCGAGGACTGTATATTAGACCAGGGGTCTCCAACCTTGGCAACTTTAAGCCTGGAGGACTTCAACTCCCAGAATTCCCCAAAGCTGGCTGGGGAATTCTGGGAGTTGAAGTCCGCCAGGCTTAAAGTTGCCAAGGTTGGAGACCCCTGTACTAGACAACTTGTGATCCGCTGGGTCATTGTTTCAGAGAGATTTCCTTACCAGATTCCTCAATGCCTTCAATAGTGCCAGACCCTACTGAAGCCCCCTTTTATTATTTTTTCTTGCCTCCTGTTCCAAGAGCCTGGATAGCTTTGCAGACAAGGCACTGCAATTTAACACCAGCTGTCTGCAATTAAAGTAAGTTCGAATCTCGCCAGGCTCAAGGTTGGCTCAGCCTTCCATCCTTTCTAAGGTAGGTAAAATGAGGACCCAGTTTGTGGGGGCAATAAACTGACTTTGTATAAATATACAAAAGAATGAAGGCTATTGCTTAACACAATGTGAATGATTTTTTAAATGTTATCTAATTCTGGGTTTTATTTAATTGACCAAACTAAGTAATAATTTTAATTAGCAATTTTATGATGTTTGTGTGTTTATATTTTTATTGACTGTACACCACCTTGAGTCCTACGGGAGAAAGACGGTATAGAAATATAATATAATATAATATAATATAATATAATATAATATAATATAATATAATATAATATAATATAATATAATATAATATAATATAATATAATATAATAAATAAACACACTGTAAACTGCCCTGAGTCTCCGGAGAAGGGTGGCATATAAATCAAATTAAAAAAAAAAAGAGCCCCCACTTGACCTCTCGGGGCCCTTGCTCTGCTCCCTGAGACAGAGTTACTCCCTGCAGCAGCCTCCCTCCGCCTTATTAAGATATCTGGACTTCAACTCCCAGAATTCCCCAGTCATCCATGCTGGCTGGGGAATTCTGGGAGTTGAAGTCCACACACCTTAAAGTTGCTAAGGGTGAGGAACACTGCTGTGGAGGGACCAGGAAATAGGTGGGGGGGGGTTGCCTTCTAAACCAGGACCCCCCCCCCCTCTTCAGCCCATTCCTCCCAGGGAAGGAGGAATGGGCTTTTGCAACCGGGACCAGGACTTGGTGAACTTATAGAGCCTTGGTAGTACAGTGGTCTAAAGCACCCTGTTATTAAGACCAGCTGCCTGCAATTACTGCTGGTTCGAATCTCGCCAAGGCTCAAGGTCGACTCAGCCTTCCATCCTTTCTAAGGTAGGTTAAATGAGGACCCAGTTTGTGGGGGCAATAAGCTGACTTTGTATAAATATACAAAAGGATGAAGGTTATTGCTTAACGCATTGTAAGCCGCCCTGAGTCTCCGGAGAAGGGCGGCATATAAATCAAATTTAAAAAATAAAAAACTTCTTCCCCTTGCAGAGGTGGGGGCTTTTCACTTGCAGCGGCCCCCTCCCCAAGCAAGCCATGCCGTCCCACCCACCCCCTCCCCAGGTCCACGGGTGCTGCCTCCTTCGCATCCTATCCAAGGCGCCGTCCGCAAAGCAGCCGAGCCGAGCCGAGCCGAGCCGAGCCGGGCGGGGAAGCCAGGGGAGGGAGGGCGGCTGGGCGAGCGAGCAGGAGGCCCGGTCCGTCTGCCCACCCGCTGGAATGCCGGCCCGGCCCGTTTGATTGGCTGAGGAGCGCCGGAGTCAGCTTTCACCGGAGTTTGCAACGATGCAAACTTTCCCTCGCTCGCTGGAGCAGAGCCTTTGGGGAAGGGGCTGCCCGGCTGGGTTCCTCCCGCAATGCCGCTTGCCTGACCATGCCGGGCCAGGCAGCAGGAGAGCCCGAAGCCCCCGCGTCTCCCCTTGAGGCCGCCCGCTGGCCCAGGACCCCTCCAAGCCCCTCTGGGGCGTTCCTTGGCTCGCTGCCTCTGGCATGCCCGATTGGATGACCATGTCCCAGTACTCCATGAATTTCCTCCTGGTTCCCATCCCGGAATACCCGCTCCCGGAGTGCGCGCCCACCAAAGTCATCAAGCTGGTGGTCCTGGGGGGCAGCGGCGTGGGAAAGACCGGTAAGTGCCCAGGGAGCTCCCCCCCTTCCCCTCTGCTTTCCTTCCCTCCCTCCCCGCTGCCCCATCGCCCCCTCCCTTTGACCCGCTGCGCTTTCAGCCGGTTCTCTGTTAATCTTTGATAGAACTGGGGATTCCGGAGCTCGGCTTCGTTTTGAGGGACACAGAAGTTCAGGAGATGTTTTTTTTTTTCCCCTTTCCAGCGAAAGGAGCCAGATCTGGGGCAGGGGAAGCAGGAGGAAAGCCAGGACTGGGCGTTTATAAAAGGCACCGCTGGGTTTCTTCAGGAGCTCGTTGTCCTGGATTGATCAATGAGAAATCACCAGGGTGGAAATCAGCCATGAATGAGAGAACTGCCCGATGGACCTCTCAGGCTGAAGCTGCAAGGGAGGGTTGATGGCTGGTCAGATGGTGGTGAGACCCCCAGCGATCCTTCTCATAGAATAAGGGAGTTGGAAGGGACCTTGGAGGTCTTCTAGTCCAAACCCCCTGCGGGCAAGAGACTATACCATGTCAGACAAGTGATTGTCCAATCTCTTCTTAAAAGCCTCCAGTGTTGGAGCACCAAAACTTCTGAGGGCAACTTCTGTTCCACTCGTTGATTGCTCTTATTTTATTTTTTTTTAATTTTGATTTATATGCCGCCCTTCTCCAAAGACTCAGGGCAGCTTACAATGCGTTAAGCAATAGCCTTCATTCTTTTGTATATTTATACAAAGTCAGCTTATTGCCCCCACAAACTGGGTCCTCAATTTACCTACCTTAGAAAGGATGGAAGGCTGAGTCAACCTTGAGCCTTGGCGAGATTCGAACCCTGCAGTAATTGCAGGCAGCTGGTCTTAACCAGCTTAATAACAGGGTGCCTTAAACCCCTGTACTACCAAGGCTCTTTTATCATTAGGCTCTTCCTATCATTAGGAAATTTCTCCTTTGTTCCAGGTTGCTTCTCTCCTTGGTTAGTTTCCATCCATTGTTTCTCCTCTTGCCTTTTCATGCTTTGGAAAATAGGTTGACGCCCCTCTTCTTTGTAGGAGCCCCTCAAATATTGGAAGACTGCTATCACATCACCCTTAGTCCTCCTTTCCACTAGACTAGACATATCCAATTCCTGTAATTAGTTAGTGGGCAAGCACTGTAATTTTGCATCTTATTTGTTTTATCGGTCAGTTTGTAGGTCATCAGAGTAACTCAGGACAAAGCACATATTAAGGTTAAAAGCAGCAAAAAGAATTCATAGAAACAACCCTCCCAAATTCAAAGAATGCTTACTTTGTCCCTTCTCCCCTTACACATACAGGTAATCCTCAACTTATGAACACAGTTGAGTTCAAAATTGTTGTTGCTAAGTAAGAGTTGTTAATGTTTTGCCACATCTTTCTTGCCACCGTTGTTAAGTGAATTACTGCAGGTGTTAAATTAGTAACATAGTCATTAAGTGAATTTGCCTTCCCCCTTGACTTTGCTTGTCAGAAGATTGCAAAAGGGGAACACATGATCCAGGGACACTGCAACCGACATAAATATGAATCGGTTGCCAAGCATCTGAATTTTGATCACATGACCATAGGGATGTGGCAATGATTGTACGTGTGAAAACTGGTCATAGTTCACTTTTTCAATGCCATTAGAACTTTGATTGACCATTAAATGAACTGTTATAAGTTGAGAACTATCTGTAATAAAACTTGGATTACAATTTTTTTTTAAAATTTGATTTATATGCCGCCCTTCTCTGGAGACTCAGGGCGGCTTACAATGCATTAAACAATAGCCTTCATACTTTTGTATATTTATACAAAGTCAGCTTATTGCCCCCACAAACTGGGTCCTCAATTTACCTACCTTAGAAAGGATGGAAGGCTGAGTCAACCTTGAGCCTTGGCGAGATTCGAACTTACAGTAATTGCAGACAGCTGGTGTTAATCACAATGCTTTTTTAGTCTGCTGAGACATCAGGCCCTTATGTGACTTATGCCTGGAATTGGGACCAGAATTTCCATTGCTAAGCAAGGCAGTCGTTAAGTGAATCATGCCCAATATTACGAACATTTTTGACATTGTTAAGTGATGTCCTGCAGTTGTTGAGTGAATCACACAATCATTTGTTTGTGGGAAGCCATTTGGTGGTCACGTGACCCCAGAACATTGCAACCATCGTAAATATAGGCAGGTTGCCAAGCACTTGAATTTTGATCATGTGACCATGGTGATGCTGCGATGGTCGTAAAAGGGAGGATCTGGTCATAAGTCACTTTTTTAGTGCTGTTCAGTTGCTAAATTTATGATTGTAAGTTGAGGACTACCTGCATTTTTTAAAAAAATTAGATGTTTCCAAATGGTTGCAAGCTACTAACTATGGGGAGAAAAATATACTCTACAAAAATTCTTCCATTCATGAAAAGAATGCTTCAAATGCTTTCATTTTTGCAGGAAACCGTCTGCCCAGGTTCTGTGTAAAAGCAGCAGTAATTGTTGCTTAGGGAGAAACAAGCACCGAGCATACTTCCTAAAAAACCCCTCTCCCTCGACATGTTTAAATCATTCCAAACTAAAGGCAATTGGGAGGAGGCAGATTTTTGACCGGAGGAAAATCTGTCTGAATTGGTGAGTTGGTCTGTTTTGACTGGCAGGCACATGGAAGTCTTCTAGGATTCCTTGGCATCACTCTTAAATGGGCAGAGCATCTTCTGGCCTTCGAACTATTTGTTGGAAAAAGAGGGGAGACCCTGGAAAGGGTGCAGAGAAGAGCAACAAAGGTGATAAGGGACTGAAGGCTAAAACATAAGGATGAACGGTTGTGGGAACTGGGGATGTTTAGTCTAAGGAAGAGAAGGGCTGGAGTGAAATGATAGCAGTGTTTCAGTATTTGAGGGCCTGCCGCAAAGAAGAAGGGGGTCAACCTATTCTCCAAAGCACCAGAAGCAAGACAAGAAGCAATGAATGGAAATGACTCCGGGAGAGAAGCAACCTGGAACTAAAGAGAAATTTCCTAACAGTGGGAACAATTAGCCAGTGGAATGGCTTGCCTTTAGAGGTTGTGGCTGCTCCATCATTGGAGGTCTTCAAGAAGAGATTGGACAACCATTTGTCTGAAATGTTTAAAGGGTGTCCTGTCTGAGCAGGGGGTTGGACTAGAAGACCTCCAAGGTCCCTTCCAACTCTGTTATTCTGTGTTATACCATGGGATGGCTGAGCTGCTTAGCTCCTGCCCAGGCTGCATAATGGCAGCAATGGCTTTTCGCGGGTGTTTGTATGTAGGTCTTTGGTTATTCGGGTCTTCTCCCACGTAAAATTGGAAGTGTCTTGGCGACGTTTCGACGAAGTCTCATTCGTCATCTTCAGGCTGGTGTTCTCGGCTTCGTGCTTCCAGGAGCAATGTGAGATCGCAGCTGTCTCTTCCTTTTAACTGCTACTGGAGGTGTGAGCTGATTGGGTGGGAACTTGGCTGTGTTCTGATTGGGTGGAGGTGTGTTCTGATTGGTTAGGGGCTTGGCTGTGCTCTGATTGGCTATATATATATACACACACACACACACACACACACACACACACACTGTGGAAGGCCTCTGTCCCAGATTCTAAGTCCCTTCCCCACGAGTACCCCCCTTGGAAGCACCTTTTTTTTTTTTTTTTTTTTGAGCAGGAAGGCAGTTGAGCCTGGGGCATGAGCTGAGTTTCCCTGCCTGCACTGTGACGGGCAGGATTTGTTTTAAAAAAAGCATAGAAAGAGCATTGTTTATTTTCTTTTTTGCTCCTTTAATTGGTCGGCTGAAAGACAATTTATAGCAGTGTTTCCAACCTCAGCAATGTTAAGATGGGTGGATTTCAACTCCCAGAATTCCCTAGCCTATTGACTGGGGAATTCTGGGAGTTGAAGTCCACCCATCTTAACATTGCTCAGATTGGCAGAATCTGATTTATTGAGTTCAAATTGTTTCAGGCGAGTTACAGTGAGAACCCATGCAAGTACAGATTAATCCTTGATTTATAACAGTTCATTTAGTGACCGTTCGAAGTTACAATGGCACCAAAAAAAGTGACTTATGACTGTTTTTCACAGTTGCAACCTTTGCAGTACCCCCTGATCATATGATCAAAATTCACACACTTGGCAACTGGTTTATATTTACGACGCTTGCTGTGTCCCGAGGTCATGTGATCATCTTTTGTGACCTTCTGACAAACCAAGTCAATTGGGAAGCTAGATTCGCTTAACAACTGTGTGACTAACTTAACAATTGCAGTGATTCGCTTAACAACTGTGGCAAGAAAGGTTGTAAAATGGTACAGAATTCACTTAACAGCCATCTTGCTTAGCAACAGAAATGTTGGGCCTAATAGACTAGCTGTATTAGGTTTCTCTTTTGCCTTTGTTCTGGAATTTGAAAGTGATATAAATATAAATCCCTCCTCCCATTTCCCCCCTAAGAGCCCTGAGAGGTAGACTAGGCTGGGAGAAGGAGGGTTACTGGTCTAAAGTGCCTCCTGTGGCTGAGGGTAGGTTTGGACCTGGTATCTCCAGTGCCAGTTCAATGCTTAACCATTAATTACCGTATTTTTCGGACTATAAGATGCACTGGTGTATAAGAAGCACCAAGATTTCGAAGTTGTAAGTAAGAAAAAAAAGGTTTTTGCCCTCCCCGGCCCCCAGAGCACTCTGCAGGCCTCCCAAACCCTCTGCACACCCTGTTTTTGTGAAAAACGGGCCCATTTTTCAGAAAAATGGGACGAGCGGGGCGGGGCTTCGGGAGGGCAAAAATGGCTGTATTTGGTGTATAAGATGCACCAACATTTCCACCTTCTTTTAGGAGGAAAAAAAGTGCATCTTATACTCTGAAAAATACGGTACATCATCCTGGCTCATATCTGAGGATGCCAAGTGAGAATCAGCAAACAATATTTTGGGGCAACCATTAAGTCAGTGTTATTGTATGTGGGAAAGACCTTGGGTGACAAGGTGAAGAGATGCTGCCTAGGGAACAGTCAGATAAGAGACATCAGAGCCCATAGCAGGATAATGGGTGGAGAAAGAGATTCAGAAGAGACCCTCCCTAGTTTCTCAAGCTGTAAAGGAGACAGTGGGAGATTTGTACTTTCAGACATGCTAGATTCTCTAGCTTTACAATAAAGTAGGATTAGTTTGTCTGTGTTTACTGTCTGGTCTACCCCAGTGGTGGGTTCCTCCCGGTTTGGTCTGGTTCGGCCGAGCCAGTAGCGGTGACGATATGACATCACCGAACCGGTTCTCCCCCCCCCGCCCTCCCACCCCCCACATTATTTTTACCTTTTATTTGGTCCCACCCCCAATCTACTGCTGCCCCAGCTGATGACTAGAGGGGAAAAAACTGTTTAAACTCTTGCCGCGGGGCTTCAAAGGGCCGTCCTACAGCTGATCAGTGTTAAAAGCAAACAAATGAGTCAGGTCGTAAATGCGAGGACTGGTCGTAAGTGCGAGGACCTTCCAGAAACGACCCTGACCAGCTAGCCACGCCCACCTAGTCACATGACCTCCAAGCCACACCCACAAAATAAGCCACGCCCACAGAACCGGTAGTAAAAAAATGTAGAACCCACCCCTGGTCTACCCAATATGCCTGACAACCATCAGCCCAGACTTCTTAAGAGTTCTCTAGAAGTGGAGGAAGGGTCTCTGGAAGTAGGAAAAGAGATCCCTGCATGCAGAAATCTGGTGAACTTTTGCACGATCCTTTGTTGCAAGTAGATCAGGAGACCCTGGGAGTTCCAGCTTCAAGTTGAGGGTTGGCTCCTAGGGCAAGATATGATGAACATATCTGCTGCTGAAAGAAGACAAGTGCTTGGTGAAAGATAGCAAAACCCGGCAGGCACCAAAGGAGAAGAACTACTTGGACAAGGTTCCTCAAACCACTCCTTTGGTCAGGTGGTGGGCACAAGTAGCAATTGGGAAAAAGCTGTCTCAACATCCACATATTTTTTTTTCATGAAGTGGAGAGATTTCACCTGCGGGGTAGCTAATTGTGAAGAATTCTGGATTGTATCCTGAGATTTTAGGAGGAATGGCCCTTAAATATCTTTGATCAAGAGGACAGAGATGTTGGGCTCTTTCAGAAGAACAAATACAAATATGGACATTACTGTCATTTTAAAAGACATGCTGGATTTTGTACCAGAGTGGAGAAAAGAGTGACCAAGTGGATTACGAGATTTAATCTCTAATCTCCAGATGCTGTTACATCTGAGACAATGTCTTGGCCTTGTTCTTCTCTTACTTCTTAGTCTTCTTTTGGAGCCTGGATCTGGACTGGACTGGTTTTCAAAGTCCTCCTTAAAACAGGACACCAGGTTCTCTCAGAAACCACCAGAATTTACCCCAAAATTGCTTTTCCAAGGGGCAATTGGACTTCCTTGTTTTTTTCCCTTGAAAATGTTTTGCTTCTCATCCAGGAAGTGAATTCAGTTCTAACAGAAGCTCTGAGTTAAAACTGAAGAATGGATGAGAAGCAAAACGTTTTGAAAGAAAAAACTAAGGTAGTTCAGTTTCCTTTTGGAAAAGCACCTTTGTGGAACAACCATGACCTGGATGGTTGAAAAATCTCCATAGACATCAAGATTTACCTTCATTAGGTGTGAACTATGAACATTTTTCAAACCACATCCAAGGATTCTGTATTAGAGGTGGCCTGTTTGGTCTTCATGGCTGCTCATCTTGGCAGGGCTTCTTGGACACTTTGGGAATGTAATCTGGGTGAAACAAAATTCAGTAACCAAGGTCACTGTGATAAATCTTACTAGATGTAGCTCATGCATTCCCATTGCCAAGGATGGGGTTTATGTGTGTATGTGGGAATGTGACGAAGAGAAGTGACAATGTCAAGGTCACAGGTCCTTCCATGCACTCTGATTTTTAAACTGCTACAGTCCCTTTTAAGAGTCTATTTTCCCAGCCAGTTTATTTTTGGAGTTTGGTTCTGATCTCAGAGTCTGGCTGGAGATCTAAACCAGGGTGTCTCTCTCTCTACTGTAGCAACTTTAAGAGGAGTGAACTTCAATTCCCAGAATTCCTTGGCTAGCATGCTGGCTGGGGAATTCTGGGGCTTGAAGTCCACTCATCTTAAAGACGCCAAGCTTGAGGAATGTTTATCCAGACAAGCTAGGTCTCGATTTGGGAGCAGTTGCATGGGAAAATTGGTGGGGAGCACAAGGGTTAACCGCCCCCTTCTTCCTTCCTTCCTTCCTTCTTTCTTCTTCCCAGGGAACGTCATAATCTTTCACACTAGCAAAGTCAAGGGAACATCATGTTTCTGAAGCTTTGCATGCGTGCTTGGATCTTCCCATGTAGCCTCGGCCTCCATCAGATGATTTCACATCCATCCACCCACACAAAAGTGGTATGAAACCGGAGCTCAGAGTTGATCTCTTTCTGGCTTGCCTTTTGCTTGGAAGAAAATGCCTTGTTCTCACATGACCCGTTTCCTCAAAGGGATAAGCTGGGCAGGAAAAAAAAAAAACTCTGCTGGAAGAAATTCCATTTAGTCAAGGAAGTACAATGAGTTGTGACAAGAGGGACACCGTGGTGAAGGGTCACCCTTTCCCAGCCTCCCTGGTGAAAGAATGCGAGAAAGCCAGGCAAAAATAAATAAAATGGGAGCCTTTTCAAAATGTGAAAACACAATAGGAAATTTATAGCAAAAAGGTCTCCTGGCCTAACCTCCAGTAACATCCAGTGCCCCCGACTGGGACACTCCATCATGTGGAACTGTTAGTTTGCTGGGGCTGCCAGTGTGAGAGGCGCAGCTGAAATCTGAGAGCCTTTGGCAAGGGGTTCAAGAGACCCATTGCGTTCCTTCATGAGAAAGAAACTTCAGGCAGAGGTGAATTGTTGGGGAGACCTTCAGTTTGATGAAAAGACATCCTTAAGGGGAAGAGGAGGAGGAGGAGGAGGAGGAGGAGAAGAGGGAGGAAGAGAAGGGAAAGGAGATGGAGATGGGGGTAAAGGAGGAGAAGAAGGATAGGAAGGAGATGGGAAAGAAGAAGGAGAAGGGGAGAAGAAGGAAGAGAAGGGGATGCGGAAGTCAGTCTTGACTCTTAGTGACCACATCAATAGATATTCTCCATGTGGATCTCTCTCCAACCTGAGCACAGTTTACTTGGGACCCAAATCAAAGGTCTCACCCTCTGGGACTCCAAACAATCTTTGTCAAGGTACGAAACTGTGCACGCTGGTTAAAAGAGGGCAGCTCTCTCCACCTCCATCCCCCCCCCTTTTGTAGGGTGTTTTCTGATTTTGGGAGTTTAAATGACTCTGAAGGTTTTTGAGGGCCATTTTATACATATTTTCTTTTAATTGGAGATTCCTTTGAAAATATAGAGCCTGTGCTCTGATGAAGTTACTATTGGGTAATGATGAAACATCTGCAAGAAAATAATCAACTTCAGAAGGCAGCAGGGACCTCCAGTCTTCCCCTTCCTCCTCCTCCTCCTCCTCCTCCTCCTCCTCCTCCTCCCCCTCCTCCTCCTCCTCCTCCTCCTCCTCCTCCTCCTCCTCTCCACAAACCCCACTCCCTTCTAGTACTGATGATGTTACCTAGTTGGGTCATGAAACATCTGCAAAAAACAAGAAACTGAAGCTCAGAGAGCAGCAAGGACTCCACAGTTCAACCCCGGACTATTTTTATTCTGTTGAATACAATGTGTGTGTTGTATTACAACTCACATCTGCAGGGATGTGCATGGTGTAATAATAAAGATAACAATCTTGTTAACTGTGCTGGCTGGTGTGGCATGATTTCAGGGGTGTTGCAGGGCAGGTCAAAAAAGTCAAGATGGCCACCACAGTGGTGCGACTGAAGCTAGAGCACACAAGAAATACACCTAATAATGGGTGGGGCTTCAATTGTACCCTGTGGCCACCATCTCGATTTTTTTGACCCACTTTGACAACTTCCCTGCAAGGCTGGCTCCTGATCGATATAGGAGTCCTAAGTAAGTTTTTCTTTTCAAATAAGCCATGGATGGTTTAAGACAGGGGTGTCAAACTCGATTCATTGAGAGGCGCATCAGGGTTGTGTTTGATTTTGGGGGGCTGGGGTGGGCGTGGCCAGGGTGGGTGTGGCCAGCTCTACATCACTCATTTTGGGGGTGCCTGTGGTGGCCCGAGCACTCTGCCAGTGAAAATGGGCTCCTGAGTTGCGATGGCCTCCTGCACCCCTCTGCCAGTGAAAATGGAGCTCGGGGTGCCATGCATGGCCCTCGGGAGCTCCGTTTTTGGCCACGCATGCCCCCCTCAGTTCCATTTTCATTAGCAGAGGCCGTCGTGGCCAAAAATGAAGCTCACAAGTTGCTCCCCACAGGCTGGTCCTTCGCTGTTTTCAGGGCGGCCCCGCGAGCCAGATCTAAGCACCCCTGGTTTAAGAACAAGCATCTTAACCTCTGCATTTGTGAAACAGTGGGACGATCTCCCGAGTCAACCAACAAGAGGAGCTTCCAACCCCCATCCCTCACATCAATCATGAAATTCATGGGATAGTGAGACAGAACAGGCACCTTTAATTGCCCCTCTTTACCCGCCATGGCAATTTCTGGGTCCATTAACCATCCTGGTTTTTTCTCTTGTTTTGCAGCCCTCGTTGTGCGGTTTCTCACCAAGAGGTTCATCGGAGACTATGAAGCCAACACGGGTACGTCTGGCTGCTGCCTTGTGGGTCTTGATGGAAGCAAACGGGGGCTGGGGCTGTCTGGCTCCAGAGCCTGGAAGGGCAAGTGGGTGGATGGGTGGGCAACTCCCGGCGTCCGTCCGGGAAGAGAACGGAGCCAGTCCCGAGGAGGGTGGTGTGTGTGTGTCTGTTTTTAAGATTCAGAAATGTCTCATTTTCAGATCATCCCACTTTCAAATATTGCTTCTAGCAATGACGGCCATAAATCAAAGCTCTGTGATTTACAGTCTGTGCCCTCCCATAGGGGAAGGGGCTGTTTTTTTTAAGCCAGCATCGCCTCCATTGAGAGGCAGCTGAGAGATTACTTTCCCGGCACAGTTTTAATTAAAAAGAAAGAAAGGATCAAAGGATCCTGCCATGCAGCCACTGAACAAACAGAGGCCATCTCTGTTCTGCTTTTCTCTTCTGCCAAAGAATGGGGCTGCGAGGACTTTTCAAAAGAGCAGCTTCAAAGAGAGGCTCCTGTTTGCGTCTAGTGCTCTGAAAAAGGGAGGGGGGCTCTGAGTTTAAAGGGAGGGGGCTTTCGTCATCTGAATTGCCCCAAATCCAGTCTGCGTTCTTGTGCAGCAAGCAACAGCTTGGTCCTCTTACAATGGAATATCAAGCTTTCCTAAGAGTAAAGGAATTGCTTGGGAATGCTTGCAAATTCAATGTAAGAAAGAAGATCAGTAAAACTGTTCACAGTTGGAAAATACTTTAGGCCTGCAGCACTCAGAGATGATTAGGAAGGAGTGTTTTCCAGTTCACACAAACACAGTGCGTCTCTGCCGTAGCCGGAAGAGGCCTTCTCCTGGTTCAGGCTTCAGTGTAAACCTTAGAAAAAAGTGACTCTGCTTTCACGCTTGCTCTAAGGCAATGGTTCTCAATCATACCAAGAGCCTTGGTAGTACAGGGGTTTAAGGCACCCTGTTATTAAGCTGGTTATTAAGACCAGCTGCCTGCAATTACTGCAGGGTTCGAATCTCGCCAAGGCTCAAGGTTGACTCAGCCTTCCATCCTTTCTAAAGTAGGTAAATTGAGGACCCAGATTGTGGGGGCAATAAGCTGACTTTGTATAAATATACAAAAAGAATGAAGGCTATTGCTGAGCACATTGTAAGCCGCCCTGAGTCTCCGGAGAAGGGCGGCATATAAATAAATTAAAAAAAAAAAACTTCAACCGATACAGGGACTTCAACTCCCAGAATTCCCCAGCCAGCATGTGGAATTAAATCCACATGTCTTAAAGTTGCCAAGGTTGAGAACTACTGCCTTGAAGTAAGCATGAAAGACACACTGTGTTTGTGTGAGCTGCAAAACACTCCTTCCTAATCATCTGCATTCATTCATGACAATAATGTAGAAAAAAAAAAAACACCCCAGTGTAATGGTTTGCAAACACTGTGTGGAGTAAAGAAAATTGCTACTAAAATGCAAATTTGACAAATCAACTCCATGGAAATAAGGAAGCAATGAAATGGATAGATCTGCAAATTGGAGAAACTGCTTATTGTTTTAAAATGAATTTATTAACTGCTTCAGACAAAGGAAGTCTCGGCAGTTTACAGAAGCGAGAGCTGCAGCCAATGCAATCATATCGATAACACTTCGGCAGGATCCTTTTTTGCCTGCCACTAGTGTTGAAATTTCATGTCCAAAAAGACTTTATCTGTGCTGAATGTCATCCCTTGTTTGATATCCTTGTTGCAATGACATAAATTTGCAGTGGTAACTGTCAACCAACAACTGATAACCTTAACCTTAAAGTTAGCCCTAAGCCATTTAGCAGGCAAAAAGGGAACAAGAGCCCTACAATAATAGACAGTGAAAGAGCAACAGCATATACTTAAAGTTACAAAGTTAGAATGAAAAGAACATTCCTGGCAGTCAGGAACTCAAATGTATCCAAGGCCCTTTGGAACAATGCAGTTCTTATGAGTCTCCAGGAAACCCTCCCCTTGCCTTGAGAGCTATCTGTTTTAGAAGAAGGGAGACCCCCCCTCCTTAGAAGGGGCTCTTCACCTCTCATAGAATCATAAGGCTGGAAGGGACCTCAGAGGTCTTCTAGTCCAATCCCCGGTTGAGGCAGGAGAACTTATACCATTCCAATCAAGTGGTTGTGCAACCTCTTCTTAAAAGCCTCCAGTGATGGAGCAGCCGCAACTTCCAGAGGCAAACAGTTCCATTGATTAATTGTTCTCACTGTCAGGCAATTTCTCCTCCTAGGTTGGATCTTTCTTGAATGATCCTCCACCTGTTATCCCAAAGGTGTTTTTTTCAAGAGGCAACTGGATTTTTCTGTTTTTTCTTTGCAGATGTTTTGCTTCTCATCCAAGAAGCTTCTTCAGCTCTTGAGAAGAAGAATCAGAACTGAAGAAGCTTCTTGGATGAGAAGGGAAATGTTTTCAAAGAAAAAACAGAAAGTCCAGCTGCCTCTTGAAAAAGCACCTTTGGGACAACCAGGACCCGGATGACTGAGAATCTCCACAGACGTCCACCCGTTGCTTCTTGTCCTGTTCTCAGGTGCTTTGGAGAACAGGTGGACCCCCCCTCTTCTCTATGACAGCCCCTCCTCAAGTACTGGAAGACAGTATTCAGGTCATTCCCAAACTTTCCCTTTGTTAGGCTAGAAATACCTCGTTCCCGTAACTGTTTATCCTATGGCAGTGATGGCTAACCTTTTTGCCGTCACGTGCCAAAAGTGGGGGGAACGGGGGGGTCACACTCGTGTGTGCCCACACTCATAACTCAATGGCCCCACACGCCCCATGCATGCATGTGCGACCCTCTCCCGCACTCCCCCCATTTTTGGCATGCAATGGCAAAAGGGTTACTGGTGGGCCTGGTAGACCTGTTTTTCACCCTCTCCAGGCTCCAGAAGCTTTCTTGGAGCCTGGGGAGGTGAAAACGGCCTTCCCCACCCCCCTGGAGGAGCTCCGGAGGCCGGAAATGGGCCCAGAAGGCTCGAAAATCAGCTGGTTGGCACGCACATGCACACTGGAGCTCAGCTAGGGCAATGCTCGTGTGCCCACAGATATGGCTTCACGTGCCACCTGTGGCACGTGTACCATAGGTTCGCCATCATGGTCCTATGGTTTCACCTCCAGTAGGATCAGCAGCATTCCTGGGCCTGTGGATTAAAATTGACAGATGAGCTCTCAAGTAGTCCTTCACTTACAGCCATTAGTTTAGACCGCTTGATGTTACAGTGGTTCTGAAAAAAAGTGACTTGCAACTGATTCTCCCAGCATCCCTGTGGCCACATGATCAAGATTCAGGCACTTGGCAACAGGCGTGTACTTATGGTAGCCTCCTTGGGATCACATGATCACCAGTTCTCAGCTGGCTTCTGACAAGGGGAGATGGAGAGAAGGTGGATTTGCTTAATTGTGTGACTCACTTAACAACAACAACAGCTGTGATTCCTGTAACACCCATTGCAAAAAAAAAAAGGTTGCAAAATCCGGCATGGATCAGTCTTGCTTAGCGACAGGACTTCTGGTCCTAATTGTGATTGTAAACTGAGGATTATGTTTATGTTAGTTTGATGCAGAAGAATACCACACCGAAGGCAATTTTTCATCCTGGCTGCCACAGAAGGTATTTATTTCAGGACCGCCTGACCTCCTGGTCTCTGTTGAGGTTTCTGCTCTGAGCAGCCACGGAGGGTGCAGAAGTCCTGCTCTGCTTCTCATCTGTCTCCTGGGGCTGACAGGGGTTTACATTAGCAGAGGGAGGGACTGGATGGAGGCAAAATAATACATTCTCTTACGAATTGGCATCTGACGGGGGCCTCTCGCTGATAGGATGAAATGGCCTCTGGTTAGGGTTGCCAGGTCTGCTTCCAAAAAATAGCGGACAAGGGGGGGGGGGGGTGTGAAGTAGTAAAAAAATAAAAAAAAATTACAATTAAATTATATATTTTCTTACAAACATCTTAACACGTATTAAAATAATCACTTCAAAACTTTACTTAAAATTCAAAACATCAAATATATTATAATAATATGCAAAATATTAAATTACATTTTAATTTCATCATAAAGCTTTTGAATAAAAAAAATGTCCACTATTTTGTGAAAAAAAATAGTGAACATAATGTGGAAAAAGTGGACTGTCCGCTCAAATAGTGGACACCTGGCAACACTACCTCTGGTTTACAAAGGCCAGTGGAGCCGTAGATACACAGCTAGTCCTCGACTTACAACAGTTCATTGAGTGACTGTTCAAAGTTACAACGGCACTGAAAAAAGTGATTATGACCGTTTTTCACCCTTACAGAAATTCAGATGCTTGGCAACTGGATCATACTTATGACTGTTGCAGTGTCCCGGGTCATGTGATCTCCTTTTGTGACCTTCTGACAAGCAAAGTCAGGGCGGAAGCCAGATTCACTTAACAACCATGTTACTAACTTCACAACTGTAGTGTTTCGCTTAACAACCATGGCAAGAAAGGTCGCAAAGTGGGGAAAAACTCACTTAACAACTGTCTCGTTTAGCAACAGAAATTTTTGAGAGCCTTGGTAGTACAGGGGTTTAAGGTACCCTGTTATTAAGCTGGTTATTAAGACCAGCTGCCTGCAATTACTGCAGGTTCGAATCTCGCCAAGGCTCAAGGTTGACTCAGCCTTCCATCCTTTCTAAAGTAGGTAAATTGAGGACCCAGTTTGTGGGGGCAATAAGCTGACTTTGTATAAATATACAAAAGTATGAAGGCTATTGCTGAGCACATTGTAAGCCGCCCTGAGTCTTCGGAGAAGGGCGGCATATAAATCAAATTAAAAAAAAAAAATTGTGGTCGTAGGTCGAGGACCACGTGTACTATGCCATCAGATGATTCTGGCTGGTATGCAACCAACAACAGTCCCATAAAAAAAATCTTCCTCAGCTCACCCCTAAAAGCAGGGGTGGGCAATTCATTTTCCCAAGGGGCCACATGAGAAACTCTGACTGTTGTGGGAGGTTGAGCCAATATAACTGTGAAGATGCAAAGGTGCGTAGGCGTGCACACACACACACACACATATACATAAATTGAAAAAAACAACCAGCAATCCCCTTCAGAATAAAAGCAGTGCAGTTGTTTTGCATGCAAGGTGTCCCCTTATTTACATTTGCCTCACACAGGCTGGGCAGGGACAGCCAAAGGGCCCAGGTGTGTCTTAGAACAGGGATTCTCAATCCTGGTAACTTTCAGATGCATGGACTACAACTCCCAGAGTCCCTCAACCAGAACGGATAGATAGAACACCTCCAGCTAGTCTTCAGGTTATGACCACAAGTGAGCCCAACATTTCTGTTGCTCAACGAGACAGTTGCTAAGTGGGTTTTGCCCCATTTTACAACCCCTGTTGCCACAGTTGTTAAGCAGATCACTCAGTGGTGGGTTTTAAAAATTTTCGCTACTGGTTCAGTGGGGCGGGGCATGTGACTGAGTGGGCGTGGCCAACTTGACATCACTCCTGCCCACACCCACTCAATCACATGACCACCACCCACACCTAGCCACACCCACATGAAAAGGTAGAAAAAAATTTGGAATTTCCACCTATCTACCCCCGCCCTCCCTTCGCCAGTTTCCCCTCCTTTAGCTGCCCCAGCCCTAGCCCCGCTTCCTCCCCCACCACCGCCTCTTGTTCGGGCTGCTTACCTTCCACAGCGGCTGGTCCAGAGTCCGGAAGGCAAGCTGACTTGCAAGGCAATGAGATGCTCATGCGCGAAGAACATGGTGGCAACGAACATGGCGGATGGAGCGAGCGAGCGGCAACTGGGGAACTGGTTCAGGGGTGTGGCCAGCTGGGCATCGCTACCAGTTCGGCAACCTTAGCCTAATTTCCACAAATGGTTCACGCGAACCGGTACGAACCAGCTGAATACCACCTCTGGAATCACTGCAGTTGTTAAGTTAGTAACATAGTTGTTAAGTGAATCTGGCTTCCCCATTGAATTTGCTTATCAGAAGGTCTCAAAAAAACCAATCCCATGACTCTGGAACATTGCAACCATCATAAATATGAGCCAGTTGCCAAAGATCTGGATTGTGATCGTGTGACCATGGGACATGCTGCAATGGTCATAACTCACTTTTTTCAGTTCCGTTGTAACTTTCAGCCACTAAATGAATGGTTGTAGGTTGAGGACTTCCTATATCCACTCTAAATAAGTTCAAATCACCAGGACCAGAGGGATTCAAAAGGAGCTGGCAGATGTGATCTCAGAACCACTGAATGTGATGTTTCAATGTTAGTTAGCTGAGCTGCACTTTTGACTGGTGGTGTATTGTACACACAGAGGCTCTTGTGCAATGCTCTTTATCATGAGTATTTTTGGCATGGCCTTATGACACAATGGAAACTCGGCTCCATTGGCTCCCTGTAAACATTTCGGTGCATTTATTCCCATTCCTGGCCACGCAGCTGAGCAGAGATTTTTCAACAAACCACAATAGAGGCAGTTTTGCAAAGACTTCAATTAGCTTTTAATTATTTCAGTTTAGATCAGTGTTTCTCAGCCTTGGTGACTTTCAGATGTGTGGACTTCAACTCCCAGAATTCCCCAGCCAGCCATGCTGCATGTGGAATTCTGGGAGTTGAAGTCCAGACATCTGAAAGTCTCCAAGGCTGACTGGTTTAGATGAAGGAGCCGAATGCAAAGACCAAATGGGTCAGATAAATGCTCAGTCTGTCATATTCCTGCAGGCACATCACTGAATCAGACTGGAAACTGACTTTTAATGCCGTTGGGTAAAAGTCTACACTCTGGCTTATTTAATATTTCATAACAGCATCTAACAGTCTCTAAAAACCTTTTGCCTAGTTTCACTATCTGAAATGTAATCATTCAACTACCTCTTCCCCGCCTCGTCCCTCTGCTTTTATGTATTTTATTGTTAGCAACGGGAGAATGAGTCCAGTGAAAACTTTGCAGGGTCATCTCTGAAATGTTCCGTGATGAGAAATGAGCCAAGCAGCCATCAGTCTTGCCTCTTTTTGCTAGGAAAAACCATTTTTGGCTCTCTTGGGCAGCCCATCAGGCTGTGGTTCATGCGGCAGGAATCGGTTTAAGTTAAAAATAATAATTGGTCTGGTGTGAAAAGGAAAAAAAAATATATCAAAAAGAAGTTTAAAAGGTACTCATACAGTGGCTGGAGTTAAGTTGGGGTCTTCACCCCCAAGGCAGAACCTGAATTATGGATTGAAATTCCCTGGAAGTAGATTCAGATGGGGTTTAGGAGGAAATTATTAGGGAGGGAAGGGGAGGGAAGGGAAGGAAAGGGAAGGGAAGGGGGAAGGGAAGGAAGGAAGAGGGAAGGGAAAGGGGGAAGAGAAGGGAAGGGAAAGGAAAGAAAGGGAGAGGAAGGAAGAGGGAAGGGAAAGGGGGAAGGGAAAGGAAGGGAAGAAGGGAAGGGAAGAAGGAAGAGGGAAGGGAAGGGAAGGAGGGAAAGGAAAGGAAAGGAAGGGAAGGGGGAAGGGAAGGGAAGAAGGGAAGGGAAAGGAAAGGAAGGAAGGAAGAGGAAAGGGAAGGGAAGGAGGGGAAGGAAAGGAAGGAAAGGGGGAAGGGAAGGGAAGGGAAAGGAAAGGAAAGAAAGGGAGAGGAAGGAAGAGGGAAGCGAAAGGGGGAAGGGAAAGGAAGGGAAGAAGGGAAGGGAAAAAGGAAGAGGAAAGGGAAGGGAAGGGAAGGAGGGAAAGGAAAGGAAGGGAAGGGGAAGGAAAGTGAAGAAGAGAAGGGAAGGAAGAGGAAAGGGAAGGGAAAATTATTATCACTGGTAATATAACCATTACTTACAACCATTCATTTAGTGACCAAAGTTACAATGGCACAGAAAAAAGTGACTTATGACCATTTTTCACACTTATGACCATCTCTGTGGTCACATGATCAAAATTCGGGCGCTTGGCAACTGACTCATATTTATGACGGTTGCAGTGTCCCGGAGTCACGTGATTCTCTTTTGCAACCTTTTGACAAGCCAAGTCAACGGGGAAGCTAGATTCACTTTATGAATTGCAGCGATTCACTTAACAAATGTGGCAAGAGAAGTCATAAAATGGAGCAAAGCTCAACTGTCTTGCTTAGCAATGGAAATTTTGGGTTTAATTTTGGTTGTAAGTCAAGACCTACTTGTAGTAATAATAATGCATTCAACTTACGTGCTTCCTGCCTCTCAACATTCTTGCCTTAGAAGCAAGAAAAGCTCTTCCTGTTTGGGGCAAAATTGGAGGAAAGTCAGATGAATCCATGTCGTCTCTGATATATTAATTATCTTCCCGCTTTTCTTTCTTTTTCCTTAGGTGCTTTATATTCCAGAAAATTCACCATTGATGGAGAACAGATTTCCTTACAAGTCCAGGATACCCCATTTGTCTCTCTGGAGGTATAAAGAGTAATTCCAAATAGCATTTGATCTCTTAACCAACGCAGCCAAAGTGTCCACAGGATGTGGCCAAAATACAGCTAGTCCTCGACTTACAACAGTTCATTTTGTGACTGAAATTACAACGGCACTGAAAAAAGAGGTTTATGATCGTTTTTCACACTTACAACCCTTGCAGCTTCCCTATGATCATGTGATTAAAATTCAGATGCTTCTCAGCTGACTCATATTTATGACGGTTGCAGTGTCCCGGGATCATGTGATCCCCTTTTGCCATCTTCTGACCAGCCAACTCAGTGGGGAAACCAGGTTCACTTAACAACCGTGTTACTAATTTAACTGCACTGATTCACTTAACAACTGTGGCAAAAAAAGGTCGTAAAATGATGCAAAACTCACTTAACAAATTTCAAATTGGAATCAGTTGCCCCCGGAGATAAGAAGAATCCAGGACCTCAATGCCTTCCGTCGTTCCCTGAAAACCCATCTTTTTCAGCAAGCCGGGTTGGCTTAAGAAGAAATTTTTAAATTCTTTTAATTAGTCTGTGATTCTTAACTTTCGGGCCAAAATTTATATATATTTTTAAATGTTTTAATATTTGTATTCTATGTTTTTTATCTTGGCTGTACACCGCCCTGAGTCCTCAGGGAGAAGGGCGGTATATAAATTGGAAATTAAATTAAATTAAATTAAATTAAATTCTCACTTAGCCACATAAATTTTGGGCTCAAGTGTGGTTGTAAGTGGAGGACAACCTGTAGTGGCCACAAAGGTGCAGTTAAAGCTCTCTGTGATGCAGCTACAGATGGGCAGAGCTGTGAGGGCAGCTACGGGACTTTTCTGACCGCATCCTATGGACAGTCCTGAAATCCGGACAGCGCGCCCCAGTTGGGGAAACAAGGAGGAAAGAAGGAAGGAAAGAGGGGAAGAAGGAAAAAAAGGAAGGATCCTTGTTAGGGCTTGAGGCTGTATGTGAACTTGGCTTGTACCCATGCAATGAAAAGTTTTATTTGTTTGTTTGTTTGGCTGGTTGTCAAACATGTACAAGATAACAAATATAGGTCTGAACATAAACATAAGGGGGGTAAATACAAATAAATGGGGACAGTAGGACAGGGACGGTAGGCACCCTGGTGCGCTTATGCAGGCCCCCTTTACGGACCTCTTAAGAATTGAGTGAGGTCCATGGTAGACAGTTGAAGGTTGAAGCTGTGAGGGTTTGAGGATGTAACAACAGAGTCAGGTAGAGCATTCCAGGCGTTAACCCTCTGTTGCTGAAGTCATATTTTCTGCAATCGAGTTTGGAGTGTTACCTTGAGTCTGTAGCGATCGTTTGCCTGTGTACTATTGTGGTTAAAACTGAAGAAGTTCTTGACAGGAAAGATGTTGTAGCAGACAATTTTTTTTTAATTGAAAAGTTTTACAAAAAACAAAAATTTTCTTCCCCCCCCATGTTCTCCCCACCCTTTCCCTCCCCTCATCCCACCCTCCCCCCCAGACTTCCCAGAGCAAAATACAAGGTGTTTCATTTAACAATCATAAACTAGATTAACCTACTTATCCTCAGACTACTAACTCCCCCCCTGAAACCTTAACTCCACTATGGATAACATAACACTTCTAATACTTAACGTTCATTCATAAGCTATTTGATATTTTCTTGTCTGATACTTATTTTGAATATAGTCAATCCATCTTCTCCATTCCGCTACATATCTTTCTTGTGTATAGTCCTTCAAGTACGCTGAGATTTTCGCCATTTCTGCTAGGTTGTAGCAGACAATTTTGTGTACTATGCTTAAATCGGACCACAGGTGGCTCAATTCCAGATTGTCCAAGCCCAAAATTTTAAGCCTGGTGGCATAGGGAATTCCGTTGTGAGTAGAGGAGTGGAGTAATCTTCTCGTGAAATACCTCTGAACCCGCTCAATCATGTTAATGTCTGAAATACAGTGTAGGTTCCAGGCGGATGAACTGTATTCAAGAATTGGTCTGGCAAAGGTTTTGTATGCCTTAGTTAGCAATACAATATTACCGGAGAAGAAACTTTGCAGTTTGTTGATTTACATTCCAAATTTCTAGGCCACCCAATTCCAACATCCTAATTGGCTCAGTCCCAAGATTAATTTTCAGTAGTAGGGATATTGACATAGTTACTGATTTCAGGGGGGAAAGGGGGCAGACCGTGGTGAGATGTGCTTGTGATCTTTCTTGATCTTGAAGCCATGATTTATGGATTAAGAAAATGTGCACCTTGTCCTTTTGTAAAGGAGACCTTGGTAGGGAAGCCTCCCCTCACCTCTCAGGCCGTTTTCAGCTCTGTTCAAAACAATAATTTCCAGGCAAGTGTTTTGTAAGCAGGTGGTTGCACATCCCAGACGAACTCAGTTTCAGCCCTGGTTTGCCAGGAACATATAGACAAACCAGCGCCTGCTTAGCAGCAGTTCCATCCTACCCCTTTTTAAAACATTTTTTAAAAAAATAATAAAAGAAAAAGAACAAAACACAAGGTAGAAATGCCTATATTGTCAAAGAGGAAAAATGAACAAACGTCTCACTTAGCAACAGAAATTTGGGGCTCAGTTGTGATCGTAAGTTGAGGACTACTTGGAGAGCAACCTAGATGATGAGTGGGCTGGAGGCTAAACCACTTAAGGGAACTAAGTATGTCTAACCTATCAAAGAGACCCATTAGGGGGGACATGGTAACTGTCTTCCAATACGCGAGAGGCTATCACAATAAATGGGGGATTGGTTCATTCTCCAAAGCACCAGAGGGCAGAAGAAGAAGTAACGGCTGGAAGATCATTCAAGAGAGAGTCCACCTAGAAGGAAGGAGAAATTCCCTGATAATTAGAACAATTAATGAATGGAGCAGTTTCCTTCCAAGAGTTGTGGCTGCTCCATCTCTGGAGGTTTTCAAGAAAAGATTGGGCAGACATTTGTCTTGGATAAAATAAGGTTTCCTGCCTTGGGCAGGGGGTTGGACTAGAAGACCTCCAAGGTCCCTTCCAGCTTATGAGTCGGTGGGATTACAGAAAGTGTTTGGATTGGGACTGATGGCAGACTGGAGACAGCCTTTGCCCTGCTGACATTGGGAATCATTTATCAAGCTCATCACGTCCCGTTTGAGCTTCCAGGCATGAAGATGTTTCCTGTCACCATTGATTTAACTTCCTCACTATAGATGCTGACTCAGCAGCTGGGCTTCCGAGGAGCACCCTGGACCTGGCTGCAATAACCACACACTTTAAAGTTGCCACAAAGTTGAGAAACATGGCCTTAGGGGCTGCCATCGACTGTAGGGTTACAAACATAAAGTTCAGAAATAAAACAAAAAATCAAGTCAAAGTGTAGTCTGAACATTGAGGGAATACGATAAACTCCCAGCACATAGATTCTCGTATCTGTCAGAGGAAACATACTTGAATTAAGTCCATGCTTTATGTTACTCTACACTCGGATCTGTTTCATCTGGGCTAGGTTTGTTGTGTGAGTTGTGGTTGTCAACCATAGTTTGTGGATGACTGTGTTATACAGGTAGCCCTCAACCACAATTGAGCCCCAAATTTCTGTTGTTAAGTGAGACATTTATTAAGTGAGTTTTGTCCCATTTTACAACTTTTCTTCCCACAGTTGTTAAGTGAATCATTGCAGTTGTTAAATTAGTAACATGGTTGTTAAGTGAATCGGGCTTCCCCCTATTGACTTTGCTTTTCAGAAGGTCACAAAAGGGGGTCACATGAGCCCAGGACCCTGCAGCTGTCATAAATATGAGTCAGTCGACAAATGTCTGAATTTTGATCAGGTGATCACAGGGATCCTGGAATGGTCATAAGTGTGAAAAATGGTCCTAAGTCACATTTTTCAGTGCCGTTGTAACTTTGAACAGTGACTAAACAAACTGTTGTAAGTCAGGGACTACCTGTAGTGACTCAGCAATTGATTTCTTTAACAACCTCAATGTATATGAATCTGGTTTTGATCTTTTGTCAACTGGCACTTAGCTCTTTCCTCCTGGTTTTTGATGACAGGATGAGAATGACACCATCTGTTGCCAGGAGCAGATAAACCGGTCCATTTATTGGGCCGACGGCTTCGTCTTCGTCTACTCCATCACGGACTATGAAAGCTACCGCGTCATCCGCCCGTTGCACCAGCATATCCGCAAGATTCACCCCAACGCCAACATCCCTTTGCTGCTGATGGCCAACAAAGGGGACCTGCTCCGAGCCAGGCAGGTGTCCACAAAGGAGGGCCACCAACTTGCCAACGAGCTGGGCTGCCCGTATTCAGAGGTCTCTGCGCGGGAGAACTGCGAAGGGGTTCACGGGGCCTTTCAGCAGCTGTGCCAGGAGCTGAGCCGGATCATTGGGAACTGCAATGGGGAGAAGCGGAGGGGCCTCCATCTCATCCGGCCCAAATCGCCCAACATGCAAGAACTGAAAAGGAGGCTCAAGCAAGCCTTGTCTTCCAAAGGCAAAACTGCCACCATGCTCTGATGGATTTTGAAGTGACTGTTTGGGCTGGGCCATAGCAGGCCAAGAATAGCGATGTGGGCCTAGTGACGGTCAGCTTGCCAGCTATTTTGGGGGTGAAAGAAGTCCTTTTCAGAAAAGAGACTAGGATGGCTGGGAATTTGGGGAGTTAAGCCCTTTCACTAGACCAGGGGTCTCCAAACCTGGCAACATGCTGGCTGGGGAATTCTGGGAATCGAAGCCCACAAGACTTAAAGTTGCCAAGTTTGGAGACCCCTGCACTCCAAACCAAGAGGGTCCAAAGGAAAGGGGGACCATCATTCTCAGGATTAATTTCAGCTTCTTCACCTGCATGAGACAAACAGGTGAATACCTCTACCTGTCCACTCCCATTTGGCTTCAGTCATCATCTTGGTTCTTTCCCCATATGTCAGACAACTTTCTTCTCTAATGTTTAGGTGCCAAATTATGTTTATGTATGGCATTTAAAGGAAAAAAATAACCGCACATATAAATGTCTTAAACATGGTTATGAAACTGGCAGGACAAGAAGATAGATGGTTGGTGGTCTCTCCATTGGACAATTCGCTCCTGCTGTAGAGGAACCTCCTGCCTTCCTGTTCCACCACAGCAACAACCAGCACAACTTTTTCAAAGAAAAACTCCCTTCCTTCCTTCCTTCCTTCCTTCCTTCCTTCCTTCCTTCCTTCCTTCCTTCTTCCCTCCCTCCCTCCCTCCCTCCCTCCCTCACCATACCAACAACCAGCACAACTCTTTAAGAGTAGAAGAGAAAACAATCCAATTCTTTTCTTTTCCTTATTTCACGATGGATTATTTCAGAGGACTAATCCATGGTTTATCTGTGGCCATCCAAACACTTGAAATGAATGACTTGTTTATCATTACAGTTGACCTCATAAATGTTACAAACGATCTGGAGTTTCGTTATTCATACATAGAATGAATGAAATTAACCGGGGAGTTAATTGGGTTTGAGCTCGTGAAAAGTACAGGTAGATCTCAATTTACGACTGTTCGTTTAATGACTGTTTGAAGTTATGTCAGCATTGAAAAAAGCATTAAGATCAGTCTTGCACTAATGACTGTCCCGACAGCCACAGGGTTGTCAGGATTCTGGTGCTTGGCAACCGTGGCACGTTTATGACAGTTGTGGCATCTGGTTCACGCAACCGCCATTTGCAACCTTCCTAGGTGGCTTCCCATCAGCAAAGTCACTGGGGAGGCCAGCAGGGAAGGTTGCAAATCCCATGATGTCTCACTTAATGGCCGGCAATTTATTTATTTATTTATTTACTTATTTATTTATTATTAAAATTTATATGCCGCCCTTCTCCTGTAGGACTCGGGGCGGCTCACACAATAAAAACCACAACAATAAAATACTAAAAACCAATCCAAATTAAAATCCCCAAAGTTAAAAGCCTCATAGTCGGTCAGGGAATTTGGTGAAAAAGCCATGTCTTCAGGCCAGCGCGGAAAGTGCGGAGATCGGGAGCCATCCGGAGCTCGGTGGGTAACCCATTCCAGAGGGTCGGTGCAGCCACAGAGAATGCCCTCATCCTAGGGGTCACCAGCCGACATTGTCTGGCCAACGGCACCCGGAGGAGGGCAGTTCTATGAGAACGCACTGGGCGGTGGGAGGCCGGTAGGAGGTGGTCCTGCAAGTACCTCGGGCCCATGCCATGAAGGGCTTTATAGGTAAGTACCAGCACCTTGAAGCGGATCCGGAAGGCCACAGGCAGCCAGTGCAGCTTGCGCAGCGCTAAGTAACGGGAAGCTCCTGTAACAACCCGCGCAGCTGCATTCTGGACCAGCTGGAGCCTCTGGGTACACCCCCAAGGCCAGCCCCATGTAGAGGGTGTTGCTGAAGAGCCTGTAGTGCAGTGGACTAAAGCACTGTTATTAACAGATTAACATCTGCTGCTTGCAATTACTGCAAGTTCAAATCTCCCCAGGCTCAAGGTTGACTCAGCCTTCCATCCTTTCTAAGGTAGGTAAATTGAGGACCCAGTTTGTGGGGGCAATAAGCTGACTTTGTATAAATATACAAAAAGGATGAAGGCTATTGCTGAACGCATTGTAAGCCGCCCTGAGTCTCCGGAGAAGGGCGGCATATAAATTAAAGCAAAAAAAAAAAAAGTAATCCAACTGAGAGATGATGAGAGCTTGAGTGACTGTGCGGAGGGCAACTCTGTCTAGGAAAGGCCTCAACTGGCGCACTAGGTGAACCTGTGCAAAAGCCCCCCCTTGTCACGGCCGTTAAATGATCCACCATAGTTTAATAACTATGACCAAAAAGGTCATAAAACTCGGTGCGGTCATGTGATGTCTCACTTAACAACCATACCATTTAACAATGAATTTTCCAGTCCCAATTGTGTTCATAAGGTCCATCTTTTTCGAGGTCAGTAAAATGAGGACCCAGACTGTTGGGGGTAAGAGGCTGACTGTATAAACCGCTTAGAGAGGCTGTAAAAGCACCGTGAAGTGGGGTATAAGTCTAAGTGTTATTGCTATTACCTTTATCAGAACTAATGTATGTTTTTCTGTACTGGATTGTGGGCATGAAGAGGGCCCTTAGTCCTAAGTGAGTAATGTTCAGCCCTTTCTCACTTTTGATCCCTTAGACTCCCATAGCTTTGCTTAGACTTCAGTCATAGAAGCAAATTGTAGTGAAGAGAAGACACACCAGCCTTCTGTTGAGTTAACCATTACAGCCAATATCTGAGGGGCTGCCACAAAGAAGAGGGGCTCAATCTATTCTCCAAAGCACCTGAAGGCAAGGCAGGAAGCAATGGATGGAAACTAATCAAGAAGAGAAGCAAACTAGAAACTTCCTAACAATGAGAACAGTTAACCAGTGGAACAGAAGTTGCCTTCAGAAGTTGTGGGTGCTCCATCACTGGAGGCTTTTAAGAAGAAATTGGACAACCACTTGTCTGAAGTGGCATAGGGTCGCCTGCTTGAGCAATGGGTTGGACTAGAAGACCTCCGAGGTCTCTTCCAACCAGGGGTGAAATGCTCCCGGTTCGGACCGGATCGCCTGATCCGGTAGCGATGGCGGCGGGTGGTTCAGAGAATCGGTAGCAAAAATCCCTCCCCGCCCACATGCCTTGCTGAGCCGCGCAATCATCAGAGGCTTTTTGTTTTATTTTTAAAAGCATTTTTTCTACAACCTCTTCGGCTGAAAAAATGCTTTTAAAAATAAAAACAAAGCCTCTGCCGATCAGGCAAGTCAGCTGGGATCATCAGAGCCTTTTAAAAGCATTTTTTTACAACCTCTTCAGCCGAAGAGGTTGTAAAAAAAATGGTTTTAAAAGTAAAAAAAAAAAAAAGTTGGCCACGCCCACTCAGTCATGTTACACCCCCCCCAGCAAGCCACGCCCACAGAACCGGTAGTAACATATTTTACATTTCACCACTGCTTCCAACTCTGTTATTCTTTTAATTATGAGTGTCTGTAACTTCAGGAGTGCATGCCAATAGCCACTACTGTGTGTTAGCTTGGAGATCTGAAACAGCAACAATTGAGCCATTATTCTAAAGAGGTTTCCCCAACCTGATGTCCTCAGACTGAAAAAATATGTCCTTTCTATAGGAATATTTAAATAAGATAATATGTCTGAAATAGCGAATGAACCAAGAGGAATGGGGAAATGGATTCGAATTACCAGCGAACTGTCTTGTTTTTAAAAAGGAGGTTAGGAAACTGAGGCACAGGATCAGCAATGGCATCCTGTAGAAACAGGAGAAACGAAGCGGAATGGCTGGGGAGAGTTTGACAGAGGAGCTGAACTTCAGTTATTGGATACCGACTAGCAAGAGACGTCATTTGGAAGCGTGCCTGAGTTATTAACTTCGGAGTGATAATTGTCCCTGCCATTGCTGGAGACAGAGAACTGCAGCAGATCAACTGCCAGGCTGAGCCCATCAAGCAACTGATCTGCTCTTTTTCTGAATCAGCCCTGTTACAAAAACAGCAGGATTAGAAGTGTCAACAGATCTGAGATGGCATTTCCACGGGTGGAGCCATCCCTACCATCAAGTAGAAACAGATCGTTGCTGCTTTTTTTCTAGTTGTAGAAATGGGGGCCTCAAATTCAAACGTAGCAGGAGCAGAGAGGTGGGACTGTAAAATCTCTGAGGCTGCATTGTGGAGTTTGCTTTCCTGAAAACAGATGCAGGAAGTCCTTAACTTAAAACGAATTCATTTAGCAACCGTTCGAAGTGACAATGGCTCTGAAAAAAGTGACTTATGACCGATTTTCACACATATGACCGTTGCAGCATCCCCACGCTCATGTGATCAAAATTCGGATGCTTGGCAACTGACTCATGACCATTGCAATGTCCTGGAATCACGTGAGCCTCTTTTGTGATCTTCTGACAAGCAAAGTCAAGGGTACACTTAACCACCGTGTCACTAACTTAAAGAACTGCATTCACTTAACTACGATGGCAAGAAAAGTCATAAAATGGGGCAAAACTCACTTAACAAATGTCTTGTTTAGCAATAAATTTTGGACTCAATTTGAGGACTACCAGTATGGGGAAAAGTTCTCCATGTTTTTTTTTTATATAATTTTTTTTATATAATTTGATTTATATGCCGCCCTTCTCCGGAGACTCAGGGCGGCTTACAATGCGTTAAGCAATAGCCTTCATACTTTTGTATGTTTTTATACAAAGTCAGCTTATTGCCCCCACAAACTGGGTCCTCATTTCACCTACCTTAGAAAGGATGGAAGGCTGAGTCATCCTTGAGCCTTGGAGAGATTCGAACCAGCAGTAAATTGCAGGCAGCTGTGTTAATAACAGGGTGCATTAAACCACTGTACTATCAAGGCTCTTGACCTAATGTTTCTCATTTTACCCACCCACATTAAACCCATCATGGCTGGTTCAGAGTTCTTCACAACTGGAGACATGGAAGCAGACTCATGGGCAACTGCCAAGTCTGACGGCCAAATCAGCTCTATGCACATTTCTGCTATCTACACTTCTGTATTGTAATCAGGCCAACCCAGAGCTACTGTATAGGACAATCTTAAAATATGGAGGAGCCAGCTTCTGACACATGGCATGTGTTGAGAGTCGTGCAAGAACCTTGGTTAAACAAACAAGATTGCAGTTTGTCCCAAAGTTGCTTTTTCAAAAGACAACTGGACTTTCTTTGTTTTTCCTTGAAGACGTTTCACTTCTCATCCAAGAAGCTTCTTCAGTTTGTACTGAATGGTGGAGAATGGAAGGATTTATATTCCTTGTAGTAGTGGTGAAATCCAATTTTTTTTTACTACTGGTTCTGTGGGTGTGGCTTGGTGGGCATGGCAGGGGAAGGATACTGCAAAATCCTCATTCCCTCCTCACTCCTGGGGGAAGGATATTGCAAAATCTCCATTCCCACCCCACTCTGGAGCCAGCCAGTGGTGGTATTTGCCGGTTGTCTGATCTACTCAAAATTTCCACTACTGGTTCTCCAGAACCTGTTAGAACCTGCTGGATTTTACTCCTGCCTTGTAGTTATCTGATTCTTAGCACTCTTTCTGAGAGTTGTTGAGGCCACTTCCACACCTATTTGCACTATTCAGGTGACTTGAGGGCATGGATAAACCTCCAAGTGGCCTCAACGACTCTCAGAAAGTGTGCTAATGGCCAGATGACTACAAGGAATATAAGTCCAAGCATCTTGAAGGAAAAACAAAGAAAGTCCAGTTGCCTTTTGAAAAAGAACCTTTGGGACAACCATGTCCTGGATGACCAAGAATCTCCACAGAGAAGACTGCAGATTGCTGAGTAGACATCACTTCATTGTCTGGTCTATAATGGGATTAGTAACCATCATCTTCATCACTGTGGTTATTAAGTGAATCCTGCTGCCCCCATTGATTTTGTTTGTTGAGAGCTGGCTGGGA